CCAAAACAACAATTGGATTTTCCCTTCATCATATAATTAATATCCTGAAAAAAAAATCCTCTAAAAATCCCCTAGACACTGTTGACCTACCGTTAATTGCGAGTATCTTCGTGTTCCCCAGTTGGTTAGTTGGGTAATCGCGTGACGAATGAATATACGCACAGACGTCAGGGCAAGGGGGAGAGGAGGCATAACGCGATCAGTAATTCTCTTTTTTATTTACGGAATAACTAATGTGCCTATTGATTTGAACCATTAAAAATACCCTGTCCCTGGATGTGAAGCTCATGTATTTCATTAAATCTAATGTACAATACATCCATGCACTCGGTTGGACGTTTCCATTCCTCGTCCCCAATCACTGCGGAACATTTTTGTTGTTTGGCATAATAAATTATCATTACGTCAAACGGACGGACTAACTCAATATCATCAGTGGAAAATTGTAAATAAATTGTGCCCAAAAGAAGGAACAAGAAGACTTAATAAATCTATTGAATACATGTGATTACGCAATCAACACTTTGTCGACTGTCAGTAACACAATGACAACGTAACGATATTCAATAAATTCTCCTTCCAGCATCAATAACAATCGGTGAGCGGAGAAAACTTTCACAAATGCGATTATCAATTCTTCACTCTAATCGCCTCAAAATGATTATGATGAAGATGTATAGCCGAGCGTTCGGTGAGGATCAGGGTATTTTAAAAAATTCTATCTGAAAAGTATTTACTTGAGACAAGTAATTTTTCTTCAGTCGCTTAATTCTCTGAGGCGTCTCAACTGACGTGGGCCGAGAGTGGTCTCAGGCTTTGAAATACTCTTGTAGTCAAGAGTCAGGATATTCAAGTACTTTGGTTATTTTTTCGAAAAAAATTAGGTATGAATATTATTTGTAAACTCAATAATATTATTTATGAAAACGATTTATTGATCTATTTATGTTATTTTTTGTTGTTTGACAAGTTTGCAGTAATTTCACTATTTTTCTTTCAGTGAAATGATTTTCTACTTTTGTAGTCAAACTTTGCAGGTCTGACTTTAAATCTCGACATTGAACTGTCAAAAACATTTTTTAAATCTGAAAAAAAATTGGAAAATTTACCTTTGGAGGAAAATTGATAAAATAATTTAAAGATTGCAAATGTTTGAAAATACGAGCATTTTCTATGAATAATTTACAAACAATCAATTTCACGCCTAAAAAAATAAGGCGAAAGTTTAACCAACAGTTTCCGAAAGTTTAAACAATTTCAATGATTTATTCGTAAGCAACGAATGTTAAAAAAAAATTTCTCACGCAATTTAATTGACAAATTTGACGATTGAAAATGATTAAATCTATAGTGTAGTCTGTACCAAACTGTAATAGTATATTTCGATGCGAGTGCATAAAATTGTTGTTTGATTCGTGGGAGGTGTGCAGCGCTCGCCTTCGGCGAGCGCTACCCTCCCAAAGATCAAACAACAGTTTTCCCACGAGTGTCAAACCCTATTTGTTTATAATTTATGCACGCTCTGCATAAAATTTCCCTTGACGCGCTAGCGATGAAAAATATACTAGGATATCCTTAAGCCATTGAAAATAATTTACTTCTCTCAAGTAAATATGGTCTACACATTAATAAATTGTTCTCTCACTATTTATGTCTTCCGCGTAATTTTATCTATGAGCGAAGAACAGAATAGAACTGAACGGAGAGAAACGCCCGTGAATAGCAAGGGAATTTTAAAATACTCGGCTGTGAATTATTTATCTATTCCACTTCTGACTATATACGGAAGAAGGTGGGCCTAGTTCAGCCACAAACAAACAAATTTTACGCGCTCGAAGTAATGATGATTTGTTTAAATTTGAAAAGCCGGTGCCTCTTCAAAGGCCCCATTGCCTCAGCAAATGTTGTGCCTTTATAACGTGGGAAGAGGTCTGCCCGAAAATCGGGGGATTAAGGGAGAGGGAGAGAGCGAGAGAATGCGGATAGATGAGAATACGAAAGGAGAATAACGCGACCTGCCGCCGGGATGGGAGTCCCTCCTCGGAGTTTGGGTTTCTTGTGATTGAGGATGCTGGTGAAGGTGGTGGAGAATAATAGGTGGACTGAAATAAAGCACGGAATAATGTGGGCTCAAGAGAATAAAAGGGGAGAGGATACCTGAGATAACACTATTGGCACGCCGTTTCAGTTCGTGGTAACAATACGAGTGTCTAAATAGAGTTTACAAGGTGATATGGATGGACAATTGATGTATTTACATGCATGGAGAGAAAAGTTGAATAAAAATTATGTCGAAAATCGCGGCAGAGTTTACTGTATGACTGCAGGCAATTACGGAGGCGAAATTGTAATTAAACAATACTTTTTGCGAATGTTAGACCCAAAAAACGGTAACCGTTTTTTCCCCCGGAAAAAATTTCCCCGTCAAAATTCCCCCGTGAAAATTTCCCCGGAATATTTTCCCCCGAAAAATTTCCCTGAATTTTTCCCTGATTGATGTTTTTTTGAAGAATGTTCCAAATCTTGTTCTGCTTTGAATGTGTATTTTGATAGGCCAATGATGATTTATTTGTGATGGATGCAATTTAGGAATGACAAATTAATTCGAATTATGTGAGGAAATTGTTTTCTACCCTTGACTATTTCATTTTTGTGGTAACGTAATTTATTTATGATTGAAACAGTTGTATTGAATGCAGATTGGTTTCTGTGTGTCAGACAATTTTTTGAAGAATGATTGTTTGCCAATATTATTTCATTAATAAAGTGGGATTTGGTTAAATGAGGGTGATTTTTGGATTTTATATGTGATTGAGTTATGGTTCATCGATTATGGAGGAAAATTGAATTGAAAAATTTGATTTTTTTTGTCATGTGTTTTTGCCGATTGAGAGATATAATAAATTGAGTTGATATTTGTAATGTATGTATGTGTAATCGTCATTTGAATCCATAAGGGGAATTAATTCCGGGAATTTTTTCCGAGGAGATTTTTTCCCGGGGGGATATTTTTCCAGGGGAATTCTCTCCGGGGAATTTTTTCTGGGGGAAAAAAACGCGGGAAACCAAAAAACAAGCCCTCGTAACCTTGTTGTACGTTTAGTAAATTTTCCGATGTTAGCGGAGAAACATTAACCATTCGTTTCGCACTTTTTGCCCGGATGTAGGGTGAAAAAGACCTAGCAATGGATTCCGCTCCATGATTACTCCACTTGATTGGCAATGTCTCTCCAACTTTTTCTCCCTGTATGCATCATTTTTCCATCTCGTTCTCTCTATTGTATTCAAAACCACAATAACTCGTTGTTTCGCCTGTCAAAATACTATTTTCAAAGTGGGGAAACTAAATATTATATTTTGATACGAGTGCGAAAATAGTATATTTCGATACGAGTGCGTAAAAACGTTTTTTTAACCCGTGGAAGGTGTATAACGCTGCTCTCCTAAGTGTTAAAGAACACCTTTCCCACAAATGTCAAATCCTATTTTTCATCACAATATATGGAAAGTGGAATTTTGTACCCGCGGAGCGTGCGTAAAATTTCCGTTTACGCACAAGTGCTGAAAATTCAATTTTTCACACATTGTGATGAAAAATAGGGTACAAAACTCGCGGAAAAAGTGTTTTTTAACCTTTGGGAAGATAGCAGTTGCCTTCGGCGAGCGCTTCACACCTCGCACGGGTTAAAAAACACTTTTTCATCACGCTGTGACAAAAAGTGAACTTTTCGGCACGCTCCGCGTGCCTAAAAGTCCAATTTCCGCCACATTGTGATGAAAAATATTGTTCGTAACTCGTGAAAAAATGTTTTTTAGCTCGTGGGATTATATCACTCGCCTTCGGCTCGTGATATAAACCTCCCAATCGCCAAAAAACACTTTTTTGCACTCGTTACGAAATATACTATTATGCACTCGTATCAACATATGTTATTTTCGTGTGCAGTGCGTGGGTAAAATTTGACTTTATGCACAAGTGATGAAGTAGTATATTTGTATACGAGTGCGCAAAAGTATTTTTGGACCCGTGGTAGGCGTGTAGCGCTTGCCGAAGGCGAGTGCTGCTCTGCCAAGGGTCAAAGAACACCTGTCCCACGAGTGTCAAATCGTATTTTTCATCACAATATATGGAAAGTAGAATTCTGTACACTGGAGCGTGCGAAAAATTTCAGTTTACGCACAAGTGCTCTGAAAATTCCCGTTTATGCACTCGTATCGAAATATATTATTTTCGTGCACAGTGCGTGAGTGAAATTTCACTTTACACACAGATGGTAAAGTAGTACTTTTTCATACGAGTGCGGAATAGTATTTTTCCGGCCTGTTGCGATGGTTTTTTTTACTCGTGTGGCGTTGGCCTCCGAGCCGTAGGCTATCGCAACAGTCCAGGAACAATATTTTTCTGTAGTGATTTTCAAGTTTTCGAGTTTGGGAAGTATGTAATACCAATTCCCAGACGAGAAATCATGAGAAGCAGTACAGAAAAAGTATTTTTTGGCTCGTAGGAGGTGTTTGGAGTGTTTATTGGCACGAGCTGAAGGCGAGTGAGATAATCTCACGAACCAAAAAACATTTTTCACATGAGTATCGAACGATATTTTTTATCACAATGAGTGGAAAAGAGACGTTTTAAGCACGCGAAGCGTGTCTAAAGGTTACTTTTTCGCACAGCGTGCAGAAAAATGTTTTTTAACCGGTGGGAGGTGTATAGCTCTCGCCGAAGGCGAGTGCTGTTCCCCCAGGGTCCAAGAACACTTGTCCCACAACTGTCAAACCCTATTTTTCATCACAACGTGTGAAAAATGCGATTTTACGAACGCGGAACGTTACGCCCAAACAATAAAAACGAAATTCACACAACTTCGGTGCAAAATATAATCCCAACAATTCTGCAAACAGAACTCTTCAAGGACCAAATTGACAAGATTCTCCTTTACCCAAATGAAAAACTCCAAATTTCATATCTATATATTTACAATAATTTATTAATCCACGTATAATCTTAATACATTTACAAATACTTTTCCTGTTTCCATTACTCACTTCCTCTCCAAACCCCCCATGCGATGCTGACCAGCATGTTGGATCACGATTACGGAGAAGAGCGACAAAAAAAAAATACATTCGTCGAAATACTTTCGACAGTACAATTCAAATCATCGTATTATCACTGGGATACAGATTATTCAAACCTACGCTTTCCTACATTGCACCGATATACATTCTTTCTTCTTTTTTCTCATTCGCATTTAAACTTTCCTGTTGAAGCCACTACGCCGGCCGCAGACTACATAGCATCTGCCTATGTCTCCATCAAAACACTCCAACAATTCGAAAACCCCTCGTTTCACTCTCCCCCCATCATTACGTACAATATTTTCTCTTCTCCGTCTAACCCCATTAATTGTAGATGTGCTATGAACCACCGACTTTATTCGCGTTTAGCAGTCGACAAGAAGGAAAAAATATCGATCGATGAAACGTAGCCAGAGCACAAAAACTTTAGCAACAAATCGAGGGAAACAGCATGAAACAGTATGAAATATTGCGATTGACCAGTGATAGCCAACAAGATTTATCTTCAGGTTGCAGTTTCGTACGGCCTGGAGGCAGTCATTGAGTAACCAGCGTACAGTGGTCTTGGTATCAACAAAGCAGTCTCACTATTCCTACCAATATTCTCATGCTCATCGTCAGGTGCAATAATATTCTCAATAGTGAATGGTTTTTTGGCTTTTTTATGACTGTTCGTTTGATGGGGAAGAGGTAAAACCGTTGCCTCGAGACTCGGTGATGTCCTGGTTGGTGTTCTTTGATCAATGCCAGCGACGTCGGTACCGTCGGCGTAACTCGGTGATAATCTTGGGGATGAGCTCGAGCCGAATATAATGTCGGGTGGTCTGTAGATTTTGGAGGGTAGTGTGGGCGAGTGCTCCTCGTCGTAGAGCCTGTCCCTGTAGATGTCGTACGTATCACGTGGGGAACCAACGGCTGAGGAGCTGCTCTCGAGGGATGGGATGCGGCTGCAAATGGCGCGATTGTCCGACATTTCTGATGACAGGATTGACTGCCTGGAGGACTGGAGATAGGCCGGAAGGTGACTCATGTAGGTGCCGTTGAAACTGGAGAAGGACCAGCTTCCGTTCGGCAGGAGGGACGTGTCGTATGGTCGGCTGACCTCGTTGGGGTCCGGAATTACTCCGCTTGTTAGGCGCTGGCGGGCCTCTGCTGAGAGGAGATAGTAGCTGGGTGGGGTCTCCTGAGTGGTCTCCAGGCCGAAACCGCTGGAAGCTGAGGTGGAGGCCACCATCATCCGCCTCTCCTGCATCTCCCATCGAAGGAGGTCCTCGCGGAGTCGGTGGAGGTTTGCTGCGTTCAGGCTTCCGGTGGAGTTTGTCACTGGGGACGAACCTGAGGGCTCGGAGTGCGGGGGTGGCATCGATGAGGCCAGCGCCTGCAGCTCGGATTTCAGGAGCTCTTTGTCGGGTTTGTGGAGCTTGAAGCGCTTGCGACGACGCAGGAGGGAGCCGTTCTCGAACATCGATAGGGCGGCGGGGTGGAGCGCCCAGTAGGCACCTTTTCCCGGACGGTGGGGACCTCGTGGTACCTGGAACAGGATTTATTTTTGTAGGGGCAAGGCTTATTTTATTGGCGGCGGGTTTCAGAGTATTATAGATGCACGGAAAAATAAGAGACGGTGGAAATACACTTGAAAATTTTTGTCTGAATTTTCCGTGTCGAATTTAGGGAGTTTTTATTGGGTGCAAGTTCTACTGAAATTTCAGGAAATGTTGTCATCAGAAATTCAGAATTTCGTGGAAACGTCAAACACACTGACTGACTGACTGAGAGAATGATTCATGTATTCCAAACGAGATTCGTTAAGTATTGACGAATGGTAGAGTTGAATATGACCAAATGTGTATTCGTTAATAGTTAACGAATGGTAAGGGAGAGTGGGGTAGACCGGCCCCTTTTGATTTTTTTTGTGATACTCGTAACTCAGAAACAAATTCATTAATTGAGATCAGTCTAGGCTAGGCTCATTCTAAAGGGGAAGAAGTGTAGTTTCCATGGAAAAAAATGATTTTATTTTATTCAAAATTGAATGAGCTGTTAGCATTTTTGAAAAAATCAAAAGGGGCCGTTTTAACCCAATCCCCTCTAGAGTTGAATTTGACCGAATGTATATTCGTTAATAGTTAACGAATGGTAAGGGAGAGTGGGGTAGACCGGCCCCTTTTGATTTTTTTTGTGATACTCGTAACTCAGAAACAAATTCATTAATTGAGATCAGTCTAGGCTAGGCTCATTCTAAAGGGGAAGAAGTGTAGTTTCCATGGAAAAAAATGATTTTATTTTATTCAAAATTGAATGAGCTGTTAGCATTTTTGAAAAAATCAAAAGGGGCCGTTTCACCCCAATCTCCTCTACAGTTGAATTTGACCAAATGTATATTCGTTAATAGTTAATGACTGGTCCACTTGAACTGTGAAAATCAAGTCAAACAAGGCTCCTCAAATTTGCATTTGTTAACTATTAACGAATGAACATTTCGTGAGACCGAATAGACTCTCGTCTCCAATCAAATCCATTCGTTAATAACAACTAATTGTTTCTATCAGTGCAGAACTGTAAATTTCCGTTCCGTTTTTCCCTGAAAATGAATAGAACACCAGAAAATTCTGGTAAATATATTCTAGAATTTTCAGGACTGTGACATTGAATGTAATTTAGGAAGAAAAAAATAATGAAATTTCAGATATCACTGATAATTCGATGTAATTTGACGGTAAATATTCATATTAGATTGAAAATTCAAATAAATTAAGGAATTCTCGTCTTCATGCCGCTTTAAATTCTGGAAATTTACTGAATTTTCAGTGAAACCTGAAATGTCATGATTTTTTTCCCCCTAAATCGCATTCAGTGTCACTGTCCTGAAAATTGGTAGTCAACTGTCCATGGAATTTCATTTTTTTTATAACAGGTTACTGAGATCGCCAGGTATTTCGCCTGAAATTCGTACGAATAGGGCGTTTCGAGAGAAAAATACCGGCGTTTCGCCGATTTTCCACGTATACAAAAACACAATTGTTTTGTGAATTGCGTTATATGATGATCAGTAAAAAATTCACATCAAATCGGGAAAAGATAGAGGATTCTCAGTATAATTTTCATGTGTTTTCTGGTGATTATAGATATATATCTATAAATACGAAATCGAAAATTTTTCTTTTCTATTCCAGTCTCCATTCATACACAGCAAAAACGAATGTTTGAAGTTCACACACCTTTTATAGACATTTTTCAGACACTAAAAAACATCAGAATAAAATGAAAATATATCTGAATTTCAGACGAACAGGTGCCCAAACATCTTAATTCATGCTTGACATTGAGACAAAATTTCATTTTATTCAAACTTTTTTTAGTGTCTGAAAAATGTATACAAAAGGTGTGCTTCAAACATTCGTTTTTGCTGCACGGAGAGAAATGCTCAGTAAAAATTACGGAACTCACACTTCGCTCACCGATTACGGAATCGACTCAGAAAATTTAAGTGACGGTATCGTAATTTTTCACAGGAGATTCAGACAAAAATTACGGAACGCTCTGGAAAAATTCCGTGACAGTTTCGTAAAATTTCCTACATCCACATTTCCCTCCGGAATTACGAAAAAAAACGTAATTTTTATTGAATATATCTCTCCGTGTGTGTACTCCCTTTGTTAGTTTCTTCGTCCGCGCAGAATAATCTAATGCCTTCCGTAAATGTGGGAGTTTTTCCCAAATTCTCAAGCTTTTCACTGAATATTCGACTTCCTAATAAACTCGCAAATAATTAACGGTAGAGAAGAGAATATTGTCTTGCGCTCCGCAAGGAAAACGACGGGATTTATCTGCCGAAGCGCTCCGCTCATACGAATTTCAGGCTAAATACCTGCGATCTCAGGCTTTCCGCAGTTTCCTTTTCTTTCGTGTGTCAGTCATTGGATATCTCGGAATTGCAGAGAAATGGTGGAAGTGCACTGAGAGAAAAATATGATTCTTCTGACTATATTCCATCACCATCGAATTATAGTCAAAAAGTCCTCAACAATTTTTCATGGGTTACGGTAACTATGGCCGCAGAAGTAATTACTACAATGGAATGTAGTCATTGCAACTATTTTATAGTTCTACTCACGATAGATTTGTCGTGGTTACTTTTGAACTTTGGTTAGTTCTTTGGTTAGTTGATTTGCAAAAATTACGCTTGTGAAGTTACTATAATGTTATGTGCTGCATATAAAAAAAATGTATCGTTCACCAAAACTGCCTCAACTATTTTCTTATTGTAAATCAAACTTCAGATTTTTCTCTCAGTGTGTTACTGAGGGAAAAATTTCTTAATGTGTAGACTATGTTTGGTTGAGAGAGGTAAATTATTTTCAGTGGTTTAAATGGCAGAATGTCTGCGCTTCACGGAACTCGAATACATTCTCATTTATTGGTATTCTTCCGCGTTACATCATGAATATATTACATATCGAAACGTTGGAAGTGCATAGAAAATCGTGAAAACAATAAATACTTTAGGATTAACGATTGTTCTACGCGGTTTGAGTGAGTTCATTTGCGATTGAATCATACTTGAGTACAGGGATATTTTAAAGCATGAGACATGAGGTGAGGTGGCTAGGAGAATTGAGAATATCCAAGTATCTTTTACAGTGTGGTACAGACAGCACTACACCAGCAAAATAACGAATGTCTGAATTTCACACACCTTTTGTCGACATTTTTCAGACACTAGAAAACGTCTGAATAAAGTTAAAATGTGTCTGAATTTCAGACGAACAGGTGCTCAACGGTCTTAATTCGTGTTTGAAATTCAGACAAATTTTCATTTTATTCAAACGTTTTTTAGTATCTGAAAAATGTCTGCAAAAGGTGTGTGAAATTCAGACATTCGTTTTTGCTGTGTAGAGATTCAATCATTAAATTTGTCAATTAAATTGTCTGAGAAATTTGAAAAAGAAAACATGATTATTCAATCCCATTCAAATTACATTTTGCACAGTTATTTTTTTAAAACAATTGTTCTTTGTAAATAAATAATTTAAATGGTTTAAATTTTTGGAAATTGTATTTTGTCGGGCGTGAAATCGATTTCTGGTAAAATTCTGAATATGAATAAATTTGTGACGATTCCGAACAAATGATTTTTATTTTGAAAAATTGTAATTTTTAAATTATTTCATCAATCTTCCTCCTCAAGTAGATTTTCTAATTTGTTTTCAGATTTTTAAAATGTCTTCGAACAGTTCAATATCGAGATTCAAATTCAGATCTGCAAAGTTTGAATAATAAAATAATTGTAAAATATCCGGAACCTTAGGATCGAATGGGGTTGAAATGAACGATGTTCGACTACAAAAGTAGTCGTATCGAAATATTCTATTTTAGATGGTGTCTGTATATATGTATGTATGAGGTCTTTTCTCTTAATTTTTTCCTCGAAATTTTGTTATAAGGGATCAATCGAATTTCATGAATTTTTTCATGAATATAGACTTTAATAAGTTCTATTCATTGACTCTGCTCAAAATTCAATTTTCCGTACAGATTCGAAAAAATTGATATTTTTTCAAAAACCGATTTTTCAACGATCACTCAAAAATTTTCATCAAAAAGACATTAGTTATGGCTCAAAAAACTGATAACAATACCCTCTTGATTCTATCAGAATATGATGCGGGACGCACAATTTATTGTTGAATTACAGCACATTGTTTATGCGATTTGAAAGAGAAAATCGGTTTTTTCATGATTAGTGAAAGAATTATCAGTAATAGCAATGAAATCAGGGCTTGAAAAGTATATTTCAATGCCTTCTTAATCAAGTTGAAAAATGGTGAGAGCAGCATCATTGCTTATCAAGTTACACAATACCGTCATGAATGAGCTTTTTATATAACAATCTCTATCTCTATTAAACTCAGGTACCAATCTATTATGTCGAATACTTATTCATATTGATTCATGGTCTCGACCAACTTCTGACAGAACCTGAGTTAAACTCTGGCTAAATCCTGAATAAACCCTGATTAAATCCCAGCTATGCACTGATTAAACCTTGATTGAACCTCTATTAAACCCGGACTGAAAACGAATTCGAATCTTGAAAGGGTCTGAATGTAGAATAATTTGAAGGAACGAAATAATACGCGAAATTTTGATGATATTTCAATTGATCATAGTACTATGAAACGAAAAAATAGAAGAAGAGAATAGCGAAATAAGAATTTCAATAAAGAAAACCCATTCGGAATCAAATTGTTAATTTATTAGCAACAATTACTATACTCGTTTATTCAGAATAATGTCTGATCATGTGATAATGAATGATATCTTGATGACAACAATTAACTGAAGGTTTCATCTCATTTCCCCCTAAATTCATTTAGCAAAGGGACAAATTACTCTGAAAGACCAAAAAATAGAAGAAATAGAAGAGAGAAAAAAATAGAAGAAGAGAATAGTGAAATAAGAATTAAAAAAAAAAACATTCGAAAGCAAATTATTAATTCATTAGCGACAATTACGATAGTCATCATTCATTTAAAAAATGCCATTGTCTACTTATTTTCCTTTTCTGTATCAAACGTTTTTTAAACTTTCATTAAATGTGCTTCACTGTCAGAAAATTATCCTAGAAATTTCAAATAAAAAATCTTGACATTTTTAACAACAAATAATTTACATGGAATATCCATTGATCTTGTTATTGATAAAGCAGTCAATTTTCTTTAATATTCAATGAAATTTGATTTCTCAGGTTCATACGACAATGAAAATGACTGAGAATCGTGAAAATTCAGGCAAATGTGCTTCTGAATTTTTAATCTCTTAAAAATTCAATTGAATACAATGCTTACTTTTCACGATAGGTGAGAAAATCCAAATTGTCATTGAAAATTCAATGATCATTAATCATGAAAAACTTAATTTTATTGAATTTCCAAGATGAATCAGGACTTTCATGAGCAATTTACGCTGAAATAGAATTCTGAATATTGAAAATTCAAATGCATCTGTTGCTCAAATTTCAAAAACCTTCTAACAGTGTTCTGTGAAAGTCTACTCAGATCATCAACCAAATGAGTAAATTCGATGAATAATCTGTCTGATCATGTAATAATGAATGACACCTTGCTGACAACTAGTGATGCCACGAGACATTTCACGAGACATCACGAAACAAGACTTTGGCGAGAGCGTCTCAGTCTCAATGAACACGGAAATTATTGGTCACGTCTCAGTCTTGGAATGCGCCGTATCGACTCCTCTTGTGATGACTCCGAGTCAATGTATCTCATCTCGGTTTCCAATTTTTCGCGATTTTTATATGTAGAAAACCGAGACGAGACAAACCGAGACAAACCCGGGATTTTACATTAAAAAACACGAAAAACTTGAGACCGAGATGAGATAAATTGACTCAGAGTCATCACGAGAGGAGTCGATACTGCCCATTTCGACACTGAGATGAGAGCAAAGATTTTCATGTTCATTGAGACCGAAATCATCTCTCCAAAGTTTTGTCTCGTAAAGTGTCTCGCGGCATCACTAATGACAACAATCAATTGAATGTTTTATCTCATTTCACCCCAAGGTGTCCAGTGGCTTGGCGCAGTGGGTAAGTTCGTTGCCTCACATGCGAAAGGTTCTGAGTTCAAATCCCGGCCGGGTAGAATGGTGCGATCTAACCATTCAAAGTCTTGCTCATCATCGCAGTATACCCTAACCGGGTCGAAACGATGTAAAATAACGATTAAAAAAAAAAATTTCACCCCAAGCTGAAATTCCACAATCAGGATCAAAGGGCTCATTCAGCAAAGGTGAAAATTACTCTGAAATAGGCCCACGAGAACTTGATAAATCACATTATTGCTCAATAAATACGACTGTATGGTTATGTGCACACATCACCCACGCATTGCCCACCAGGCCATGTACACATGTAATGTAATAATTTTCATGTGTCTCCACCGGCGAAACGGCTATTGCCACTGAATATTCAACGTTTAAATCATGCAACTGAGACTGCCTATTCCCAGCATTGAATCACTGTATCAATAATGATTTTGTTTTTTTCCGGAATTGAGTGATTTTTGTGTTTTTTCCCCTCTATTTTTCGTTCAATTTCAGTTTACAATTTCCTATTACCTCGTTTTACCCAACTAATTGGCGACTATCTAGCAGAAGTGTATTGTCATGTAAGACAAGGACTCGGGATTAAATTCTAGCATCCATTATCCACTATCATTAAGTACTTCTCTGCGGGTTATGGCAAAAGAGGCCTTCTCTTGACCAGGTGTAACTCCCGCACGATCGTATCGTCTATAGGCTACTGCTTAACAGCTCTTTACAATGTATACTTCCCACTTTGGCTACAATGTCATTAACTCTTTGTCACGCCTCTGCTTTCATTACCAATTCAATGTTCTTAGAGTGGGGAAAATAGTGTAAAACAGGGTTAGAGAAAAAATACATTATTTTCTATTTCTCGGGAAAAAAATTATTCACAATGAGATTCTGTAATGAAAAAAAAAAAGCGTGAAGCTTATTCCAGGGGTTGCGGTTGAATTCACAATCATCAATTCAAACTGAGGAATTTACACGAATTTTCACTACTCAATGCTCAACAGCAAGATATTGATTGATTTATATGGTAGTTCCATGCATTGTATAACATTCTTGAATATTATACTTTATACAATTTTTTTTGTATTTTAATGGAGAATTGTTTCATTTTTGTAAATCGGACCCCCTCCCCCTTTGAGAATAGACATGTTTTATTCAGGAATAAATCCCATCTTAAATTTCTGGATTGGAAAGGTTATTATTCACCCAAAAAATGCCTTATTTTGAGATTTCAAAGGTGTCAAGATAAGATTTTCAAGTCTTAATTTGAAGTCTGAGATTCTTAAGTTGAGTCTCAATTTAGGACTTTGAGATCTCAATTTACACATTCGAGTTGAGACTGGAAGGTTTCAATTTGAGACTTGACGATTTTTATTTGAGACTTTCATACACTCAAGTTAAGACTTCCGAAAGTCTCAATTTGAGACTTTCATAGAGTCAGGTTGACACTTTTGGATGTCTCAGGTTGAGACTTTGAAGGGTTTTAATTTGATACTTTTAGTCCCGAGTTGAACCTTTCGAAAGTCTCAATTTGCAACTTTCATAGGCTCAGATTGACACTTGTGAATGCTTCAGATTGAGACTTTGGAAGGTTTTAATTTGAGACTTTAGAGAGTTTTAATTTAAGACTTTTATAGCCTCAAGTTGATACTTTTGAATGCATAAAGTTGAAGCTTTGGAAGGTTCCAATTTGGAATTTTTTGGGGGTTTTAATTTTAGACTTTCAAAGCCCCAATTTGAGACTCTGGAACGGTTTAATTTGAGACTTTGGAGGGTTTTAATTTGAGACGTATAGTCCCAAGTTGAAACTTTTGAAAGTCTCAGTTTGCGACTTTCATAGACTCAGGTTGACACTTGTGAATGCCTCGGATTGAGACTTTGGAAGGTTTTAATTTGAGGCTTTAGAGGGTTTCAATTTGAGACTTTTATAGCCTCAAGTTGATACTTTTGAATGCATAAAGTTGAGACTTTGGAAGGTTCTAATTTGGGATTTTTTGGGGGTTTCAATTTGACTTTCAAAGCCCCAATTTGAGACTCTGGAACAGTTTAATTTGAGACTTTGGAAGGTTTTAATTTGAGACTTTTAGTCATAAGCTGAAATTTTCGAAAGTCTCAATTTGTGATTTTTATAGACTCAGATTGACACTTGTGAATGCCTCAGATTGAGACTTTGGAAGGTTTTAATTTGAGACTTCAGACGGTTTTAATTTGAGACTTTTGCAGGCTCAAATTAATACTTTTAAATGTATCAAGTTGAGATTGTGAAAGGTTCGAATTTGAGACCTTTAAAGCCCCAATTTGAGACTCTGGAAGGTTTTCATTTGAGACTTCAGACGGTTTTAATTTGAGACTCTTATAGACGCAAGTTGATACTTTTGAATGCATCAAGTTGAGACTTTAGACGGTTCGAATTTTAGATTTTCGGAGGGTTTTAATTTGAGACTTTCAAACCCCCCATTTGAGTCTCTGGGAGGGTTTAATTTGAGTCTTTGGAGGGTTTTAATTTGACTTTCAGTCCCAAGTTAAACTTTCAAAAGTCTCAATTTGAGACTTTCAAAGAATCAAGTTAAAACTTTGGAAGGTTTTGATTTGAGACTTGGAAGAATTTTAACTTGAGACTTTCATAGACTCAAATCGAGACTGTCAAACGTCTCAATTTGAGACTTTTGAAGGTTATTAACTGGAGACTTTCAAAGTCCCAAGTTGAAACTTTCGAAACACTCAATTTGAGACTTTCATAGACTCAAGTTGACATTTTTAAATGTCTCAAGTTGAGACTTTGAACAGTTTTGGATTGATATTTCTGAGGGGTTTAATTTGATACTTTCAAAGCCTCAAGTTGGAACTTTCTAAAGTCTCAATTTGAGCCTTTCATGAACTCAATATAATACGTTTGAATGCCTCAAGTTTAGACATTAGAAGGTTTTAATTTCCGACTTTGAAGGGTTTCAATTTGAGACTTTGAAAAGTTTCATTTTAAGATCATAAGTCTCACGATAAACCTTTTTTTTAGTTTCTTGACCGTGCTTCAATAACAGTCTTTGAACTACTAAAAAATCTAATTTAAAGAAAATAATAATCCCGCTAAGTTATCATATCCTCAAATAATGTATCCATAATTCAGCAATAATCTTCATCTCGTTCAGTTTCTGATGCTCTTGAGGAATGGGTTCCCCCATAATTAAACACATATTATATACTTGACATAATCTCTATTTTTCACTCCCCTCAAAAAGCCGAAAAAATTCAGTAATTGCAGACAGAACATCCTGATTTCCCGCATATTATTAAATATACAGACGACTAAACATCCGTAAAAATGGTTTTTCGTATTCCCTCTACTTTCGCATTGTCCGAAATTCAATCATTATTCCGTTCTAGTCTCCAAAAACAAAAAAAAAACAGAATTGATCCCTTTGAAAAATTAATTTCGCCGGTAAAACATCAAGTCAGCGATATCGAGGGGATATATTTTCCAAGTGAATCTCCTTGATTTCCAATTTTTTTCTTCCACCCTGCCGCATCTATAATTGCCAGCAACTGTAGCCACGCAACAAGACGCATTTCGGATATCTTGCCATAGAAAGGTGCGAAACCGATCATTTGATTTGGCAGGTGTGAACCAGATGGTGAGACAAAAATAATGATACAGGGCCACTTTAGCGTGTGCCGTCGGGCCATATGAGCCACCTTGCCTCATGCGTGTTTATCTCTCTTCACGATATACAGGCTCAAATATATTGCGTCTAACATATTGATTATGCGCGAGCACAGCCCCATTAACCCGAATTTCATTAACAATTTTCGAACCAATTAAAAAAAAACTCATCAACTCACCTTGATGAAGCAATCGTTGAAGGACAAGTTATGCCGCAACGAATTCTGCCACCTCCTAGTGTCTTTCCGGTAATACGGAAATCTATCGGCAATGAATTTATATATTTCCGCCAGCGGCAGCATTTTGTCTCTCGACGACCAAATCGCCATTGCCGTGAGAGATATATAAGAATACGGTGGTTTCTGGTCTCCATAAGTATCTCGCGACGGTCGGGGCATTATAATTCAATATCTTTCACTCTATCTAATCTCTATATCAACGAAAAATCGTTCAGCATTAAATAAATAACGATAAATCCATTCCTGGAGGCTTCAGTAAGTCTTCAAACCCCCCGACGATTTCATCTCATTAAAATTCAACTGCTATTTCCAATCACAGTTTTTTGGGTAAATGTCACTGTCACCTATTCACACAAAATTACAAGCATTTGCCGAATAATTCACTCCATTTGCACTCGACACTGGCGATGCACCGCGACATTTAAAACGCGGTGAACCGGCTCTTGTTGGGAGCTGAGTGAAATTTTTTTCCGACTCGACAAGTCGAGCTCTCGCGTTCGGGAGCTTTTGGCGCACTGCCAGCCCAGCCATCCCCACACCCCCGCTTGCGCGCTACTCCCCTCTGGGCTCGGCGTGGTGGAAGTCAACCGGATTGCCGGCGATTGGTGGATAACGGTGTGGAGTTGTGTCGAGATAATCATCGGTGGGAGCTGGAGAACAGCCAATCGCCGGCCGATACCAGACGGTGAACACCTACCGGTTTTGTCAGGGGAGAAGGGCACGTGAGTGTGTTGGTGGCCTGTGGGGAGCTCGTGTAGTGCCAGTTTCAGCTCCTCCACCATCCTGAAATATTATATGTACGGTTTGCGCTGGGGGTGGAGTCTGCGGAGGCTCCACCCCGAGTTCTGCGTTTTTTATCACTTTTTTCATTTCAATTTTCTCCCGTTTTGTTTTATTGTTTCAATTTTCAGCGAGGGGAGCGGGACGAGTTTGGACAGACAAGTAGTTAATGATCGATTAATTATTTTCGGGTGGTTTTAGTTTTCGGTTTTTTGGGGAATGAATAGCTTTAATTGGAGGGAAATCATTGAGATGGGAGTGATGAGGTGGCATTGGTGAGTGCGTTATTTTGGTCGTTCTTGTGCGGGGCGGGGGCGGGGAGCGGAGTAAATATGCTGAAGATGGTATATATAAGCACTCATGTTTAACGACACTGTGGGGAAGCCGCAAGTAGTATAAGACAAGGTTAAACGGCCCGTGTGAGATGGTAGGAAGAAAGGTAATTGATTTCACGCTCGAGTAATTGCATCTCTTCACGGGTGGGGAATACGTTAGGGAGTCTTAAAAGTACATTCGTATAGCCCACAGTGGTTCATGCCTCGTACGTTATGGCTGCGAATGCCGATACAACCAACCAGACGCACGCCCCCTTTTATATTTCTCAACGTTTTGCCGGGGACAATGTAATGTCAGCGGATTATGTTTCTTGAAATTGTTATTTTTTTCAACGGTCGGGTGGAGTTCAGGGGGTGGATTCGTAGTTTTCGGGGGGATTTGGGAAGACTGGAATTTAATGGTTTACCTGACGTAATGATCGCTCTACAGTGAGAGGAAAACGACAAAGTTTTCAAACAAGTCTTACTTGTGCCGAGAAAATAGTTTTTTGAAAATGATTAAAAAAGGATTTTTTTGTGCCAAACATGCGGAGAGTGCGCTGGAATGAAAAATTTTTGTCGCAAAAGTAGATTTAGCAGTGGAAAAAAATTGCATTCTCTGGACACGCAAGAAATGTCATTTCTAGCACTACTCCTTCGTTATTCGAAACAATAATAATATGATGGCGATCTTGTAACTTAGGGATAAATTATTTGTTGATAAATTGTCCTCTGGAGGTATTTTCATCCTGAAAAGGCACCGTCTGGTGTGAATTATCCGCCTCTTGAGCGAAATATTTCGTTGCTGTCAAAAGCAGAACAATTATTCATGTTGAGACTTTCAAATTCGAACCAAACAAATCCTTTTTTAGCAATTTTCAAATAGTGATTTTATGGACCCAAACAAGACTTGTTTGACAACGTGTTTGTTTTTCTCTCAGTGTTGTCCAGGGATCGCCATCAATATTAAAAAACGGAAAAATGGGATTATCTCGAAAACGTTGTATGAACGGGTATAAATGTTTAGATTCATTTAAATAGAAGACATCGAACCGAATATTTTGAAAACAGTCGAAATCGGGCCACTACAGTTTTGAAGATATTTGCGGAAAACGATTTAAAAACGAATCGCTTTTTCTCAAAAACTATTAGATCGATCGGGCTGAAATTTCGCACAGCGCTAGTCCTCATTACATGGAGAGAAATATTCAATAAAAATTACGTATCTTTTCTGTAATTCCGAAGCGAAATGTGGCTGTAGGAAATTTTACGGAACTGGCACGGAATTTTTCCAGAGCGTTCCGTAATTTTTATTTGAATCTCCTGTGAAAAATTACGATACCGTCACTTCAATTTTCTGAGTCAATTCCGTAATCGGTGAGCGAATTGTGAGTTCCGTAATTTTTACTGAACATTTCTCTCCGTGTAAACCTAAAAGGTGCTGGGGCGGGGGATATGCTCACATACAGACATGGTCGCCAAACTTCGTATTTTTACGTTTCAGACCGTTCTACATCATTTCCAATCAAAATTAGAAAATGTCAAAATTGAAGGATTACCATGTTTCCATTTCGAAGTCCTAAAGGTTCAATTTGAGACGTGCTGATCTCAATTTAAGCCTTCTGAAGTTGAGACTTTTAAAGGTGTCAATTTGAGATTTTCGCAGCTTCAAGTTGAGACTTTCAAAGGTATTGGGGCGGTATTAATTTAAGGCTTTCATAGACTCAAATGCCTTTCGAATGCCTCAAGTTAAGACGTGGCGAATTCAACTTGCAATTTTTATTCAAGTTGAGTTCTGAAAGTCTCAACTTGCGACTTCCAAACTTCTCAATTTAAGACATTTGAAAATCTCCATTCGATTCAATTTGCGCGTCAAGTGAAATTTTTGCATTTTTGAAATTTTTGCTCATTTTCCGCGTGAGCAAAATCCCACCTTCAACACATTGTGATGAAAAATAGGGTTTAACATTCGTAGAAAAAGTGTCCCTGGACCCTTGGGAGGGTAGCACTCGCTTTCGGTGGACATACCTCTCACGGAAAACACTTTTATGACACTAGGCCTGATAAACCACGATTCTAATCTCGCATATTGTATGTAAAAAATACTACGTTTTGACGAATGTGACTTACTATCACATTCGTCAGATAATACTTTGATACTTAGATAGATACATTTGCGCCCGCTGGAGCGAAAAAAACTTTTCCCCGAATGATCGTTAAATTCCATAACATAAAATAAGTAGGTACTTTTTTTTTCATTCCAAATAGATCATGGAGAAATCAATTTTTTGCTTTGTAATCCTCCAATTTTTTGAAATGTAAATATACGAAGTTATCATGTCTGTATGCGAGCATGCCATCGCCACCTTCCGGCGATCAATGTTTCAAAAATTGAGTAATTATGTGGCTAAAGTAATTTTAAAAAATTGGTAATTTTGTCAGATTACAGATTTTAATGAGGACTACCTCTGTGCATAATTTCAGAAATTTCAAAAAGCGATTCGTTTTTAAATCATTTTCCACAAATACCTTGAAAAGCAGTGGACCGATATCGATTTTTTTTTCAAAATATTCGGTTCGATGCGTTCTGTCCAAATCAATCAAAACATGTATACCCGTTCATATAAAGTTTTCAAGATATTTCCGTCTTTTCATAAAAAAAAATTGTAATCACATTTGTTTTTATTAGATGATTTTTCACTAACAAAAAATAATAATTCTCTACGTATATGATTTCATGTTTAATAGTAACCTAATATAGATAATCTAAAAAATCTAATTTTATTCTGTGGAATCTAATGAGCATTTTTTTTATTTTAACGAATATTTCGGAACAAAAATATTAACATCAGAAATGAAGAAAAACTCGATGGGATAAATAAGACCAAAGGTATCTGACGAAAATTCAGAGTCAAAGTGACGTATGTACGTCCTTCAATGGAGGTCAATGAATGTGAGTGCCTACCAGAGGCTAAATCTCAAATGAGGTTTATTTGAGTAGTACGAAATAAAGTTTCTATTCAAATAAAAAAAATTTCTTTATTTGAGGTTTTGTTTATTAAATCATTGTTTAAAATGATTTATTATTGATAAATCTTCATTTTATTCAAATAAATTTGTCATTATCAATAAATAAAGATTTCTCCTATATCAAGAAAATGTCTTTATTTGAAATTAATAAATTGTTTATTTCATATAATGAAATCCCCTCTATTGAAACAAGTAAAAAAATTCGAATAGAGATTTTTATTTCATTCAAATGAACCATTTTTCAGAGTGTGTAATAACAGTATTTTACAATGATTGCCATCATCTTTCGAGTCTGGAAGGTTTCAACCCAATTTTCTCTATTATATATTCAGGCATACAGAATGTAGGATTGATTGACTTTAGTCCATGCTCCGTATCCAAAAGGGAAATCGCAGTCAAGCCGAACAACGTATGGAACGGATCCACCATGTCACCAGGTCGGTCAGAGAACCCTCCTGTCTCTGTGTCTTGGCAAGACAGGACAAATTCCAGCTGTGAACATATACGCAAGATGTATCATTCAATACTGACCTTTGGAGATAGTTATCACTATGCAAATTCAACACAACACATCAATTCAACAGATAGTGTATTCAACAGATAGTTTATACAACACATAGTTTATTCGACACACACACACACACACACACACATATATATCGGACAGTGACACATATTTCGGATTCTACGTAAATTTGAAAACACATGAGTTATCGCCCTGCCTGTATTTAAATCGGAATAAATATCAAAACAAATTCCACTGCCTGCAAAAAGATTTCTTGATTTATTAATCCCTATTGACATTAATATTCTCGATTATTTAAAGGGCGTTGGTCGCAATGTTAAACTGTAATTGATTTAGGAATTGGCACGCGATTGTGTTTTTTGAAGAAATTTTTCTTTTTTGATTATCAGAATTTTGGGGAAATTTACACGTGAAAGAATTTTTAGTAAAGAAGCAAGTGAAATCATTTGTTATGTTTTGAGTAGATGTATTGTTGAATTCATGGTGTATTGAATTTAAATAGCTATGGAATCCTGTCATTCTTCCAATTATTTTGGGGAACATGATACTTTTTTTTTTGCTACTCTTACCAATCGTTTCTTATCAATCCAGTGCAATTTTCCGAGGATTGTGAGTGAAGATAGTACCCACCAAGAGTAACAAACATCGGGCAGTTTCTCGGGTCTTCCGTTCAGACCTCCAGATGGTAACTGTCTTTCACAGAGCCACCAACCGAGTCTGTCTGCATCTACTAGGTGTAGGTGCCCTGAAAATGAAGAAACCATAACATTATTTTCGAATTCTGTCGTCAATTGGTACACTAGGATAAGTGGATTTTTGGCGAAAATGAATATTTTTACCCAATCGCTTCCACAAATTGGGAAGCGATTTAACAGAAGAAATCATTTTCAAAAAAATGCCCTTATAGTTTACCAATTCATCACAGAGTTCATTTATAGTATATTTTAATAATATATTAATTTAATAAATGTGTTCATTTCTTCTCAATTAAATTCTGTTAAATTTAGACTCAATTCAGTAGTTAATAAATCATGATCTTCATCACCTGTAATTGACAGAAGCCCGAGACAGCAATAAATCAATCCAGCATGACTTTCAGATCCAGGTTTGGATCCAAACCCTCCATCAAAGTTCATACAACTTTTTACAAACTCTACTGCTTTATCGACATCAATAGCATCCAATCGTCTCTGAAACAAGTGGGAAATTGGTTTCATTACAGCATAGTCAACAAATTTTTGCTAATAAATTAGCAATTTGCTTCCTAATTGAATTTTGATGATGATGTCTTTTAAATTAAATTGACTGGTTCATTGAATTCAACATTATTCCAACGTTGCCAGCCAACATTACCTTAACGTTAACAGCCAACATTGTCCTAACGTTAGAATTTTGGGCCTTCCCCAGAATATTGATTTCAGAATAAATTTTTTCAACAACAGATGATGCAATCAATCTCATGATTTAACTCGATCAAGATGGCATTGGGAAGAATATTTTCAAACACAACTGGATTTGTTGAAATTATTATTTTTTCAGTTGTCGCCGAAAAACTATCGATCACATACACACACATACATGCATATATTCGGATGTTATCTAAAAATAGCAGATTTGAACTCCTGAGGCCAAAATTAGCTATTCTCACACAAAAAATTAGAAATTTCGGAAAGAAATTTAACAAACACAATACTTCCATTCAGGAGCAAAAGGCGAATTTGCGAGATTAATTTTTCATGGATATCTAATGAATACAGAATTATGATTTACCAGCAGTGACAATGTAGCAACTGCACAGAACGAAAACCTAGTGTCCACTTCTCCCCAGACATCTCCAGTGAAACTTCCATCAGGCTGCTGTCGTTCTTTCACATACTTGACTACTTTATCAGTGTCAATAACATCAAGTGCATCGTACATGCAGAGAATCTGGACGGCACTCAGGGTATAAAGTAAATGGGGATCGTGGTTTAAGCTGGCACTTATGCCACCGCAGTCGCTTTGGCAGTTTCTTATGAATTCGAGGATTTCGTCTTTGTTGGTGTGGTCCAATTGGCCCATGAGATCCAGTGCTGTCAAGCCCCAGTACATTCCAGACATTCTTAAATATTCCGTCATACAATACATCTGAAACGAATGTGAGAGTGCGAATTATCATGTAATTCTCGTAAAATCGAACGGAAAAAAAATGAAGATGAATTAAGGGATATAACATTATCAGGTGATACAAAGGAATTTATATGATTCAAGAATGATTTTTTAGGATCTCTTCTCAAGTTAGGATTTTAATTTTCTCTGTTAATTAATTCTTATGCACACCCAGAAAAATGACTTGTTGGAATAAAATAAATAAATATAATGGGTAAATTTTCTTCTATTAGGAAAATTTCTTTATTTTAATTTTGTCGTGAATTGATAAAGTAAGATAAATGCATTTTTTTAGAAAAGATTTTGGCTAAATCGCTATCACAAATTAATGGAAAGCGATTTAACAAAAAAAACGCATTTTCGAAAAAAATGTACTTATCCTAGTTTACCAGTTCACCACATAATTGAATACATTTTTCTTTCGAGCTTAATCAAAGTTTATTCAATACTAATAATTGATTATAGTTCTAAGGTTGAAATTGATTTGAAAAAAAAATTGAAAGAGAAACAGACAACGATTATTAGAGGAGCATGCAAATATGGTTGAAACATAATTTTGAATATCTTTCACAAAATACATGAAAATGTGATTCCATTAAAATTAAAAAACCCTTCAATTGAAATGAATAAATTGTTCATTTGATGTAATTTTTAAATAATAAAAAAATATATAAATTGTTATTTGATACAATTAAATCCTTTTTTTTAACAAACAAGTTTATTCATTTCTACCAACGACATTCCTCAAATCAGTAAAAAAGTTCAAATAAACAATTTTATTTGATTTAAATGAACCATTCATCTGGGTGCATTAAATGATGTCTTGTAGAATTGCAGTGATTTTAACCAACTCATTATTTTATTTTATTTATCATATCTGCTAAAACATTGAGATGGAAGTCCTACTTTAAGGATATCCAAGTATCTATTACAGTTTGGTGCAGACCGCACTATAGATTCAACCATTTTCAATCATCAAATGTGTCAATTAAATTGCGTGAGAAAAATTTGAAAAAAATCATGAATATTCAGCGTCATTCAAATTACATTTTACACAGAATTATTATTTTTTTAAACATTCGTTGTTTATAAATAAATAATTGAAATTGTTTAATCTTTCGGAAACCTTATTTTTTAGGCATGAAATGGATTTCTGGTAAAATGCTGAAAATAATAAATTTGTTACGATTCCTGACAAATGATTTTTATGGTGGAAAATTGATTGTTTATAAATTATTTATAGAAAATGCTCGTAATTTTCAAAAAATGCAATTTTTTAATTATTTCATCACTCTTCCTCCAAAAGTAAACTTTCTAATGCTTTTTTCAGATTTTTAAAATGTTTTCTAACTGTTAAATATCGAGATTCAAATTCAGACCTGCAAAGTTTAAATAATAAAATCATTGTAAAGTGTCCGGAAACTTGAGGCCAAATGGGGTTCAAATGAAAGCTCTGATGTTCGACTACAAAAGTAAAAAAGCATTTCACTGGAGAAAAAATAGCCAAAGTACTTGGATATCCTTAATTGAAACAATTTGCATTTCGTTATTAATTTCCAGATCTTTCCAGAATTTTCCCCATCACAATAATCAAAATAAAATACTTACATAATCATCCTTATTTGTTCCATACGAGACTAAATAATTAGTATGCTTCTCCAGAAGTAACTTTGGAATTATACTTGGTAGTTGTACATCCTTCACCAAGTGTGCCTGAACAAAATCCGGAACACCAATGTAATCACGTTGATATTGATAACAATGGAACAAAAATTGTCGAGAAGAACATAATTTCAACTCACCATCTTATAAATTATGTGAATCGACAGAAATCATCCATCAACTTTTATCAGCCCTGACTTGCCTCCTCACGTTCCTCAATCATTCAAAGTATTTCAGATATACTCCAGCCAACCTCAAATACGAGTAACCACACGACAGCACCCACAGGAGGAAACAATAACAATTGAAAAAAAAATTCACAAACTGGAAAATACTGAACTTCAAGAAATTGTTAAATATTTTTTATTATTTTAGAATGACAGCTGCTCCCGTTGCATTGTTACAGTTGACATGCCTACGGAGACATTTTATTTGTCAATTCTCGCAGGAAATTTCAATTTTGTACCTAGAATGGGAATTTACTGACAGAAGGTAACAATCCACACGTGGTGAGGTAGTTGGCGGGTGAGCCGAGCCATTCCTGACAATGAGAACGAGCCTGCAGGCTATCCCATTGTTTATTCGAATCACCGAACGACTAAATCATTCGCCTCTCGCTCCAAACTTGAAGAGTAACATTTAATCCATAATTGATACAATCGTGTGAATTTACTTACGGAATTAATATCTCCCGAACAGTGAAGTTATTGCATTCCAATTCGCCAGTAGTCTCACACAGCGGGAATTATATACTGATGGTGTCGATGTAGACACACTAAATAGACAACAGTGTAAAGATGGCGAGTGCGGGGTGCTCCGCTTTCTCATCGAACCAGCAATATTGGGCATTTTGTGGTAATGATGGAAAATTGAAGATATGGGAGACAGCAACGAGCAGATTGAAGCAAGAATTCGTACCTAATTTACATTTGTCGTCGCCATGCAGTGTAATAGGATGGATAACAGTCGGACAACAATCGACGAGTGTTGCGGTATGCCATGTGCTCACGTGCTCCACATACATATTTCATATACTTTGAAATTCAATTTATTCTGCATTGACAGCGGTGCATGCATCTTTTGAAAATTGCCTCAGTTTTATCATTCTTCGAATTCATTTTACATTGACAGATTAAAGCTGCAGGAGAAGATAATCTCAGTTTTGGAAATAATTGAGGTTAGATTTCTGCTGCTGCAAACGCACATAGTTTTTTTTTATTGTTTATTTAACGTCGCATTAACAACGAGTTTTTTTAGCGACTTTAGTAAAAACTTTGGTGCATTAGTTTTCGGTTAATTATTCATTATATTTGATTGTGTATTTTCATTAGTTTGAGTAGTTTCAATATTTTTTCAACATTTTTTTGCCTCATTTGCTTTGTTTAGAGTGCGCTAATCTACAAGATTTATTTACACTATGAGTAATGTTCGATTAATTTGATCTAAATATTACACTTTCTATAATCATTGATTTTATATAGTTAGACTACTACGCTGTTAAAAAAACTTAGCTGAATTTTCCTGAAAAAAATCTAGAATTCGATTTAAGTGGAAAAAGTCAATGGAATTTTAAGTTTCGTTGGAAATTGAAGTAAAGTTTCCATTTTTTGGCGGCAGGAAAACGAAAATTCCACAATTGACATCAATATTCACTGCCAAATTTCCTTGAATTGTCAGGGAATTCCTTTAATTCCTTCAATTCTTGAAATTCCAGGAGTTTTTGAAGGAATTCTGTGAAAATTCAGAGGAATCTGGAATTTAAGGAGAGATTTCTCTTAAACTTCCCGAAGTAATTAAACTGAAATTTACAGTTCCCACGGATTTTTCCGTGAAATTATGAATTTTCAATGACAAAATTCTCTGAACTTTCAATGGACAGGTTACGTGTTAGAAATTGCCAAGACTCTTATCTGAAATTTCAATAAAATAAGTTGTATTGAAGTCTATTGACTTTTTCTATAGAATATTTTCTATTGAACATTTCAATACAAAGTTCAATAGAAATCCCATAGAATAGTCTTGCGAGGTCGCTAGGTATTTCTAGTAAAGCCCGGGTGTACTATCTTTCGAATGTTATCTGGATTTTTTTTATCTTTCGTATGAAAAAATGTCAATTGAGTGATACATCATGTAGAAATTCCCAAAAATTATGATAGAATGATAAAAAAAAACTAAAAAAATTCTGAACTTTTTCAAAGAGCGTTTTTAATTGAGATTTAGAATGAGTTGGAAAAAGTGGAAATTACAAATATCTGATTCGCTGTGGCAAATTATCTATTAGCTGTCATTTTCCATGGTGGATAACAAAATACTAACTCCTCATGGGAAGTGACAGCTAGGTATCTCAATTTTCAAAACAGTGGTATGTAGTCATCTGCCATTTTTATGTGATAAAAGTGTGATTAAAAAATTCTCCAAAATATTACAATTTTTTTCAAAGAGCCTTTTCCGTAATAAATATCTCGGTACAGTGTGGGAAAAGGTTTACGAAATCAGTCTTCCCCCTGCATGATATTGGGTGACAGGCCGCCATTTGTCACTGTAAATCAGATACATTTTTCAATTTCTTGTTATTCAACTTATTCTGAATATAAATTAAAAATGCTCTTTGAAAAAATTAAGAATTTCTTCTACTTTTTTTTGATTATTCATTCATGATTTTTCAAAACGTCTGCATGATGCAGGACTCAATTGACAACTTCAGATGACGAAAGATGCAAAAAGATCGAGATAACGTTCGAAAGATAGTACACCCGGGCCTTAAATCGTATCATTTAATTTTTTGATTGAGTAAAATCTTTTCAGCAATCACCATGGCGAAAACGAAAGAGGAAATCGATATCAGAAGATACAGAGCAGAAGGAGATAATTGCAATGGGGTCAGTCAATGGAAGTCTGACCTTATACGACGTATCATCAGCATCAGTCAACAAAGTCCTCGACAATGGACACTCAGCTTGCATCACAGCCCTCACGTGGTCCCCATCCCATGGGCTGTTCACAGCCGGAGATGATCACCAGATTGTGGAGTGGAATGTCCAGGAAAATGGAATTAAATGCAAATGGAAATCAGGAAGAAGCAAGATCACAGCTCTAGCACTGCCTTCCGATGAACGGACGATCATCTCGGCGGATAAAATTATAAAATTGTGGGATTTGGAGAGCAAACAAGTGGTTGGGACTTTCACAGGACATGCCAATCAGGTTTCGTTCTTAAAGACGATTAAAACTGATGAGCATATGAGTTATTTGATCAGTGGAGCTCAGGGGGACTCTTATCTTGGAGTGTGGTCTTTAAATGAGGTAATTATGAACAATATTTTATCATTATTACCCTATTTTCACTGGGATCAAAGTATAAATTCCAAATTTCTCATGGGGCACTTCAATCTTAATATAAATAAATTAACTTTAGTCAGTTTATGTATATTGATATAATAATTTTATTTTATATTAATTAATATAATATAATATTCATATTGATTGTTTATCAATTGAAAAAAAAGATAAATCATTATGAGTTTTGAATGTCGCGAGCTATAGGAATAAGATTTCTCGACTCCAATTTTTGAACTACAAAGGGTTTTTTTTCTCCTAAATTTACAAGAAAATGTGTACAATAATAAGCACGAACTAGTTTTTTCAATTTTGAATTTTTATGAGTCAATTTCGATTTTGTTTAATTAATCAGTTTTTTCTCCATTTCTACATTTCTTTTATTTCGAAGCGGTAAAACGGTTTAAGTCTTAACTTAACTTTTAGCTCAGTCTTTGAAGAATACTTCCAAATCTAAGAAGGATAAAAAAATACTCATAAGAATCTTTTTTTCGTAGCACTTAATTCACTCTACAAAAAACTCTTAACAAAAGTTTTGCTATTTGCCTTAAATTCTGAGATTTTTTTTGAAAACTGACGAATAATTAAAACCGACTTGAACTGCTTCACCGTTTCGCCACTGAATTATCAATATTGATAAAATAATTGAAACTTCCAGAAGAAAAAGGAGAGAACATCGATAGCATCTCTCACAATGCAAGACGACCCAATAGCGCTGTCAGTGCAATCATCCGAAAACTCTCAAATGACAGTTCTCGCAGTGAACAGATCAGGCCAAGCGAACTTGTTCACATACCAACCGAACGGTCAATGCACAAAGCCCCTGAAGCCAACAGTGACAGTGGTAATCGCCGCTGACTCGAATCAGAAAGAATCTGTCCAACAGGTGCCCATTCAGTCAGCCCAATTAACAACTAATGGAAAAATGCTGCTAGTTTATGGATCCCTAATAAATTTGACCTTCGAGCAATTGCTGCCCGACTTCTCGAGCAAAATCATGGGTCTCGTGAGGTCTGACGGTAGAAAAATGAAGGAGAAGAAGGAGGAAGCGCTTACAAAAGTGAAGATCGCAGAAACTAATGAGAACGTTGAATACTTGGTGCCAGGTGCAGCGAGTGCTCCAGCAAAGAGGACGAGGGCTGGTTCGCAGTTGCCCCTAAAAGACAGATTAGAAAATCTAAGTTTAAATTCGGAGATGAATACGTCGGGAAAAACTCAATCGAAAGGAGCCAACATGGCGCAGTTGCTGCTCCAAGGGCTCAATAGCAAGGACAAGAACATCTTGATGAATGTACTGTATAACCGAGACGAGACGATAATTAAAAACACGATAAGCAAAATACCAGTTCAGGCAATATCGCCTCTCCTCAAGGAGCTGACCAGTATGCTCCAGGGGAAGACTTATCCCAGCAAAATAGCCGTTGTTTGGCTCAAAAACTTGGTGATCACTCATGCAGCGCATCTACTGTCACATCCGGACATTGGAGACGTTCTCAGTCCAATACTGGGTCTCATTGATGCTAAACTTGCCATTTTCTCTGAATTATCGAGGCTGAGGGGGCGAGTTGCTCTTGTCACTGGACAGATCTCGCATTTGAACGATCAGGAGAGTAAAAATATTTTTGAAGAGGGACTTCTTGTTTATCAAGATTCGGGTTAGTATGGAAAAAATTCATTGACAGTTATATGTCTTTTTAAAAAATCATGGAAAATATCTGGAATGAATGAAGAATGCATGGTAAAAGAGGATTGAATACCATTCTATGAAACATGAGTAAATGAATCATAATTGTCCAAATTATTTAGGTCAGAGGAAAATAGAATAATTCTACTTTTTTAATATTGCGTTTATCTCACATTTTTGACGTTAAGGATAGGAAAATTTGAATGCAATGTAGTGAAAATGATGATCGATTTTTTCACTTTGAACAAATAATATTAATATCCAAATACAAAATTGCAGATATGAATAAAAAGACGCTGTGACTCAATATTTCAAATGAAGTTTTAATTTTTAATTTGGTGCTGAAAACACGAGATGACAATATTCTAAGCACGGAATTATATCGATGAGATGAACAACAGATTAATTGAATTACCGTGTGAACTAACTAAAAATTGATAACAGTTTAGGTCCGCACTTTTACCGGAGTATCGACGAACATTGAATCCCAGAAATTCAGACTCTAAAGTGTGTTCTAGAAGGAATTGAATTGTAATTATGATTAAAATCGTATTCAGTGAATATAGGAATTAGAACATGAGAAAATCATTTATTGTAATATGAAAATTTAACAGATGATAAATTGGGATATGATTCTCATCGGTAGTATTGCTTTTTGTAATCAGAATGATTATAAACAATGAAATGAAAAAAGTAACATCTAATTTAACGCTAGTTATAATTGCTTCACCATAATATGCATAATTATTCAATGAAATTTACCATTTGCAGATTCATCAGATGAAGATACTGACGTTGGTGAAATGGAAGGCGAGAGTGAATCCGACGATAACTGGGCAGAAACATCCGAGCAAGAGGAAGAACAAGAAGACCTTGAGAATGGAAAATCTGATGATGATGCTTCGATATGCAGTTGAATGGAACAATATTTTGTAAATGTTCAAAGAGAAATTTTTCCACTCAGGGTCAAGATGTGAACTCATTTTTGTGATTTTTTTGTGAATGTTTTATCTTTCATTCTCTTTTGTTGAAAAAATCATACCTGGTCAACATTGATGTATTCATACGTCTTCGATAAACATTTTTTTTATCATTGTAAAAAAATATGAGAACACGCAATGCATACTGTTCAACGAAAATTTATGAGAAATTAAAAACCTGATTAACATGACCTTTTTTGTTTGTTCTTTTTTCTTCCATTCCTCATTCTTTAGTGTATACGAAGAAAATAACATCTCACGACTATTAAAAAAACTAAAGGATTAAATAATCATCGAGGATGAAGAATGAGACTGGATGAAGGATGGGACTTATCGCTTCACCCCAACAGTCTGAAAAATAATGACGCACGAAAAAATTTCCTAGAAAAACCTAGTGAATTCGCTGGACAATTCTATTAAACTTTCTATTAGTTTTCGGATGATTCTATTAAAATTTTCAATAGAAACTATTCTATAGAAAGTTAATAGAATTCGATTTTTCTATACAATTTATTCTATGCCGATATTTTCTATAGAATTTCCTCGGTTCAAATTTTCCAATTTTTTTTCATTCCATTTTCTTCTCTTTTCATCAAGAAAATCAAACAGAAAAAAATGTTAATTTGAGACGATAAAATTCTATTGAAAATATTTCAATAAAATAAGTTGCATAGAAAAATCAAATTTTATCGACTATGGAATATTTTCTATAAAATTTTTCATACGCGATGTCATACATCACCCATTATGATAAAATTCGCCAATAAATCGAATATTTTCCCAGTAAAAATCCCATTCTTGCACCATGACGAGCCCAATGATATAATCTCACGGTTGAAAAAATTTAATAGAACAACCTACCGCATTCGCTAGTCAGTTATATTGCATTTCTATTGAACTTTCTACTAGTTTTTGGCCGATTCTATTGAAACGTTCAATGGAAAATATTCTATAACAAAAGTCGAAAAAATTTTCTATACAATTTATTCTATTGAAATATTTTCTAAAGAATTTCCTCAGCTCTAATTTTCCAAGTTTTCTTCATTCTATTTTTCCTTTCTTCTCATCAAGAAAATCAAACAAAAAAAATCTATTTTCTACTTAAATTTATTTAATCTAATTAATTTTATTTATTCTAATTAAACTTTATTTTATTCTATTTTTCGTTTCTTCTCATCACGAAAATCAAACAAAAAGCTTAGAAAATATGAGTCGAGGAGATTCTATAGAAAATATCTGAAAAGAATAAGTTATATAGAAAAATCGAATTCTATTGACTTTTTCTATAAAATATTCTCTATTGAACATTTCCATAGAATCGACCAAAAACTGATAGAAAGATCAATAGAAATCCAATAGAATTTTCTACCAAATTCTTTAGATTTTTCCATTAATTTTTTTCGTGTCTTATTTTTCGCAAAATTCTGCAGAATGATTCGACACTTTCGCACATCATATCTCCATACCAATGCAACCACCCACCTAATCAATTGTTATAATTCTACTGACCCACGGGTTGAATTTTTTCGAACGTGATAATTCGAATTACTTGTTTTTCGACTTGATTGATACCCTTTGGATGCTCTTATCATTCAAATTCACACCCGAGCGTACTTCTCGCCCAAGCAATGTCACGATAAAAACATATCAGGTATTTGTTCAAAAACTTCCAGTGACGTACCCCTATAAAAAAAATAAAGAAATTGCATTAACGATAGCCCTTGATTCAGAGTTGCGGAGACGCTGGTAACCCCAGGATCAAGCGAGATTAATCCCCAAATTCTGGGTATAAAAGCTTGGCTGAGCGCCGGAAAACAGCATCTTCCTTCGTTCAGTGGTCGAAGGAACATTAGCCGAGTAGTTGATAAACAATTCAGTATGTTGAGAGAGTTGTTGGTATTGGCCCTGACGGGCTTCTGCCTTGCTCAGGCAGCGGGCATTGAGACCCACACTGCTGACATGGACTTCCTCCACAAGCAGAAAAAGATCTACGAACTTTTCTTCTACATCGACCAGCCCAAGCTCATTGGCAGCGAGTTCTACGAAGTTGGACGCAGCTATGACATCGAGCAAAACATTGACTTGTACAAGGACAAGGTAAAAATTTTCGTTAATACGATTGAATTAATTAATCATTGATTGCAAAATTAATCATTAATTATTCATTGACGCCCTGAGATCGACCAAATTCTATGTTCTCTGGACTAAATTATTTTCTCGATTCTTTCAGATGGTTCCCCGCGAGTTTCTGTACAGATTCAAACTGGGCATGCTTCCCAGAGGTGCCCTATTCTCGGTCTACTACAAGGAACATCGCGAAGAACTCCGCGTTCTCTTCAAACTGTTCTACTACGCCAAGGACTTTGCCACATTCTACAAGACTGCATCCTGGGCTCGTCTCTACATGAACGAAGGAATGTTCATTATGGCTCTTACCACCGCTGTTATGTACAGACCAGACTGCAAACACATTGCCCTTCCACCCATGTACGAAGTGTACCCACAGCTCTTCTTCAATAATGAAATCATTCAGGATGCTCAGCGTATCAAAATGACTGGTAAGAAGAAAATTTAACAATCGTTGGATTGTTAAATTGCCCCAAAAAACGTCACTAAAGTCTTCACGCAAAAGTTTTTCGGCCATTCTATTGAAATGTTCAATTTAAAGTATTCTGTAAAAAAAGTCAATAGAATTCGATTCTTCTATACAACTTATTCTATTCAGATATTTTCTATCGAGTTGCCTCGGTTTAAACTTTCTATTTTTTTTTCATCCTATCCTTCGTTTTTTTCATCAAGAAAATCAAACAAAAAAACTTTTCTCGAGGCAAATTTGCATCGAGAAAACTCTATATAAAAAATCTTAATAGAATAAATTGTATAGAAAAATGTAATTCAATTGACTTTCTCTATAAAATATTCTCTAGAATCGGCCACACACTAACCGAAAGTTCAATAGAAATCCAATAGAATTGTCTAGCGAATTCTCTAGGTTTTTCAATAAAATCTTTTCATACGCGTTCGTTCGAACAACCGCAAAAATGCTCAGCACCTTCCTATGCCTTCACCTCCGCAGGATACAAAAAAGAAATGGGTGTAGGCAACGTCGAGACATTCTTGATCAACACCAACTACACCACCTCCTTCATGAAGTACTTCGCCGATAAAGAGTACGAGCTTGACTACTTCTACGACGATGTTGGCCTGAACAACTACTACTACTACATCCGCAGCATCTTCCCCTTCTGGATCAGCTTGAAGGACCTCGAAGTACCAAAGCAGATACGTGGAGAGCTCTACTACTACGTCCACCAGCAGCTGATGGCCCGCTACTATCTGGAACGTCTGAGCAATGGATTCGGCGAGATCGAGGACTTCAATATGTACAAGAAATTCGCCCCAGGATACTTCTCAACCCTCGTCTACGCAAACGGCGTTGCCCAGCCAAGCCGCGATAGTTACAGCGAAGTGCCAGCCTACAAATACAAATACGTCAAGGAGATCAAAAATATTGAGTACCGAATTCTGGCCGCCATTGACTCTGGTTACATCATAGACAAGGAGGGCAAGCAGTACAGCCTCTACTCCCACGAGGGATTGAACTACCTAGGAAACCTGATCGAGGGCAACGGTGACTCCTGCAACACCCGCTTCTACGGCTCCATCGACGTCCTCTACAGAGACATCTTTGGCTTCAACTACGACTGCAAGCACAAGAACTGCGTCATACCAAGTGCCCTCCAACTGTTCAGCACAAGTCTTCGTGACCCAGCCTTCTACCGCCTGTACAAGACGATCATCGGCTACTTCTACAGATACAAAAGCAACCTGCCAGCGTACACCAAGAACGACTTGGAGTTCTCCGGAGTCTTCATTGAAGACGTCAAGCTTGACCAGCTGTACACATTCATCGAGGAGTATGACTACCTGATCAACAACGCCGTGACTGTTAACAACTACAAGGACGGCATGAACTTCAACGTGAAGGCTAGGAAATACCGTCTCAACTACAAGCCGTTCACGTACCAGATTGACGTCAAGAGTGAGAGGACCACCAAGGGTATGGTGCGCATCTTCATGGGACCATCCTACGATGACAGATACTTCAAGAAACAGACCTACTTCTACTACAACTGGTACAACTTCGTTGAAGTTGACAAATTCATTGTTGAGTGTAAGTATATTCATTCAATCTTAGTTTGTATTATTTGAAATGATCGCTTCTCAATTTTCCGATGCAATCAAACAGCCGAGGCCAGTACACTGATAGAAAAGGTGGAACGATTCAGTTGCACCAAACAAGGCTTCCTACCTGTTACCGCGATTCGTTAATAGTTAACGAATCGTGGTACTAGTTAAAAAGTCTCGATTGGTTCGACTAAACCGTTCTATCAGTGTACATGACTTAAATAGTAGATGAGTAAACTTAAATGTGATTTAGTTCATTCAAAGTAGAAAGTAATGTGAGGAGCAAATTTCACATGATGATGTAAATACACAAAGGTAATAATGCCGTTGCAAACCGAAGATCTTAAATCTGAACTATTTACAGAGTAAAGGAAATCAGTAATGAATAATGAGGGTTTCGTAAGCATTTTTTACTAGCACGTCAAACGAAGCATTGAATATGTCCATGTCAGGGCACCGAAGACTGGATGTTCTAGAAATCTTTAGGAATTCCGCGATTAATTTAGAAGTTTTTTGTGTTTGAAGTATAGAGCCCACATCCGGGTTATTCACACTATCGGTGAGGTTTCATATATTTGGTTTTTACATTGCTTTACTATATATTTGTCGGTTATATGCGGAGATTACATTTGGTAAAGAATTTGTCTACAGTTGCCACCGTAAATGGGAAAGTCCAATAGGGAGAGAAATATTTCGATGATCTTAGTTGGTCGTTAATTCTGATCTTTGGGCATCTAGAAGAGAAAATTGCTATAAGACATGATCACTGTCCTGGGATTCTGGCCCGCAGGTGCAACCTGCATCTTACCTAAAAACTACACATCTGCAGCAGTTTCTTGATGATTTAGTAGTTCCGACAATACTTGAGACTATTCCATACTTTTCTGACATTTCGCCAGAAGTCTAGAATGAAAATATGTCTAAATCATTAAAACATTAAATCCTGAAGATATGTCTAAATCGCCTAAATGTAGACATTGTATGTAAACAATGTTCATTGTCTGCTTACAGTGAAGACTGGATTGAACACAATTGAGCGCAAGAGCACAGCCAGCAGTCTCACAGCTAAGGACTTCCCCGGTGGTGACAAATTCTACAAGAAACTGCTCAAGGCTGTCGAAGGAAACGAGCCATTCACCTACACCGACAAACTGTACGGCTTCCCAGACAATCTGTATCTTCCACGCGGTCGCGTTGGTGGATATCCATTCAAACTCTTTGTCTTCATCTACCCGATCGACGAGGCCAACCTCACCACCTTCGACATCCCACTGTTCGGCAAGATGCTCTACGACGGCAAGCCCTTCGGCTTCCCACTGGACAGACCCATGTATCCATGGTATTATGACCTCAAGAACATGTACTTTAAGGATGTATATGTCCACTACATGAAGGAGAACGTGGAGGGCTACCAGTACCAGAAGGAGCTCTACGGATCCCAACATTTCACCGAGAAATACGAGACGTATGGCCAGCAGTACCCAAAGTACGAAAAGTTCGGCAAGTACTACGGAAAGCACGACGTGTACCCAATGGACATAGAGAAGACCATGTTCTAAGCGACACTGTGTAATTGATTCCAATGTTGATCATGTTGAATCTATCATGAGCCATTGTATAATGAAATTTTCGGTGAAATAAAAATTATTCTTCAAGTTTAATTACAACGATTCTTTATTGCATTCTGTATATCCCATGTAGCTAAGTTTTAAATTTGAGTATTGTGCTCGCGACCCATCATCAACATAGCTGGATATACTACGTGGTTTGATATGTCGAAGAACGAAAAGCGAATAGGGAAAGTGGGATCCATTTGTTCCAATCTTTTTGATTAAAATTGATGAGTTTAGCGAGATAATTCGTGATGGTCCTACCCACACTGAGAAAAAAAATTGCATTTCCCAAGTATATTTACTTGCCACAAGTAAATGTATATAAATATTTGCATAAGACATGTTAATGCCAAGTAAATTTTCTTGTAGTTAGTAAATATACTTGGCAAAAGCAATTTTTTTTCTCAGTGCAGTAAATTTCCGGATATTTACCGGTCTTGCTGGAGACTTTTAGATGGCATCCGTAAAAATTGTTCCCTGGGTATTTAATTGTTCCACCATTCCATTGGATTGGGAATGAAGAGGAGTTGTTCTTGTCAATAGCTTATGTTGTGAAACAATAGATACAATAAGTAGCAATATTTACAAGCTTATAGCGATATTGGTGTGTTTGTAAAGCTTCGCAGGGAATCGCCGCCGTGTTATTTAGGCCCGAGCGTTGCCGAATTCACTCTATACTGCCCGGGCGCGTTTAGCGAGGCTTCGGCAACGTCGCACAACGGGCAATTTCATTTAACATGGGAAAAAATTGCCCGTCTGTTAGAAATAATTTTTTTTCTTCAGGAATTGTGGATATAAATAATTTTAAAAAATATTATAATTTTCTAGACACTTGAATTGACGCATTCCAATTTTTTAGGATTTTTCCGCTCAGCCAGTCAATGGTAAGAAAAAAAAATCGACCTTCTGCGGCGTTTCCGTCCTACGGTGACCAAACTAGGGTTAAGCGTATCTACGTAGGGAGCTCATAGGACTTACGCTTGAGAACTTGTGCTTAAGCGCATCTACATAGGGAATTTACACAACTTACGTTTGTCTCGTATTAATGGTGTCGTTATTTTTTTTATGGAGTTTGCGGATTTGTATTGGTCATGATGTGTGCGGAAAAGTTGAAAATATTTGTTCGGGAATAATTTGGTTAAAGAATATCCAAGTACTTCATTCGAGTTAGCAATTTTTTTTTGAAGCGAGATTTCAGTTTTGTCGAAAATTTTGCCATCCCCATGCTTTTTTGGATTCTTCAGTGTTGAATACATTTCTTCGGGAATTTCTTCAATAAATTTTGTGAATCCTACCAAGTTTGAAGTTTCTATCTCGATTATTTTTAAAGTTATCATTCGTACACTGAAAAAAAATGACAAAGTTCTCAAACAAGTCTTACTTGTGCCAAATATTTCGTTGCTGTCGAAAGCAGAACAATTATTCATGTTTGAGACTCTCAAATTCGAACCAAACAAATTCTTTTTTGGCAATTTTCAACTAGCCATTTTGTTGGCCCAAACAATACTTGTTTGACAACGTGTTTGTTTTTCTCTCAGTGTGCAGGGAATTTCAGTGAAAAGATGAAAAAACCGAAAATAAACTCCATTATATGGGGTGGCATGGTTGTTTTTCGATTTAGTTGAATGGGTATCATCATGACGAGTCGTGCGGGAATCCCCACTGAACCATACGCAAATTACATGGTTTCCATTCGGAACTAAAAAATAAGGCTTCTGAAAGTTTAAGTAATTTCAATTATTCATTTATAAACAACGAATGTCTAAAAAAATAGTAATTCAGTGCGAAACGTAATTTGAAGGACGCTGAATATTCATGATTTTTTCAAATTTTTCCCACGCAATTTAGTTGTGAAATTATATGATTGAAAATGGTTGAATCTACAGCGTGGTCTCCACTGAGAAAAAAAAATAATTATTTCCAAATATTCATTTACTTGAGAGAAGCATTTTTTTTTTAAATCGTATTTCTCCAATCGAGGCCTTCCCAGGCCAGCCTGATTAGGTTTTAATTATGACAATCGTGTTGCTCTAGACGATGACTATGTTGCACATGACCTTGGATGAACTCCAATGATTATTCATTTTCCCTAAATTCCCTATTTTCTAGAGGAAAGAATTTCCATTAATTTTTTAATGTTGATAATTATTGCGAGAATTCCCGCAAGGTCATAAGTAACATGATCATCTTGTAGAGCAATATAATTATCACAATTGAAACCTAATGAGGATTGCCTGGAAATGACTCGACTGGAGAAATATGGTATTGAAAAAATAAGCACTTCTCTCAAGTAAATGGATATTTGGTAAAAATAATTTTTTTTCTCAGTGTGCACCAAATTGCAAAAGATACTTGGATTTAGTAGTGATTTTGCCGATCCCTGAAATCAACACTTTTCTCAATATACATAGCTACGCTCCATCAGTATACATCAGCCAACTGCGGTACTCCATCGATATCCTCGCGTCTACATTACCATAATGCATTGACATAATTCTGAGAGGCTGACACCAGAAATAGAAAATTTCCACTAGACTATTGTACGTTACATATATATCGGATGCATCTCAGATGCATCCCAATAGAGCGTAATCATTGGGCTAATTCAAGTTGTGTATTTCCCATTCATCACTGCAATGTACTCCTCAATGACCTTCTGAATAAACATCATCTCGATCAATGACACTTTTGCCTTTTATATTCAGACCTTTATTATCATGATTGTTTTTCTTTCTTCCTCAAATTTTCCAGGAGCGATTGATGAGTGATCCTCGACTTTTCCAACTTCACCTCGAAAACCGCCCAGCAAATCAAGCGATACAAACTTTTCTCAAGGGGAAATGGATTCCCGGTATCTATACGAAATTTATTTCATAAATAAAATATTTTTTATTTATGAAACTACTTCATTGACTCAATAATGCAATGATCGAGTTGACGAAGAAGATTCATGGATAAAAATTAATAATTGTAGAAGAAAACACAAATTTAAAAGGTCATATCACTAGCGAAGTGGTAAAATGGGTTTAATTCGACTTATCTCCCAGTTTAGTTTTTGAGGAATATTTCTGAATCTAAGAGAGATGGCGAAATTTTCGTATCTACATTTGTTGTAGCTTTTAATCGGCTCTACAAAAAAGGTTTTCAAAATATTTTGCTATCTTCCTTAGTTCCCGAGATATTCATTGACAACTGGTCAATAGTCAAAATTGACTTGTACCGTTTTACCACTTCGCTACTGATACAGACACAGGGGTTCCGTTTCCCCTTAACTCCCGTCAACTCGAATTCGCTGTTCAATAAGCGACAAGTTTTACACTGATGATTAAAACATTATGAACGGAAATTTAGTGATAATCTTGGGCTTTTATCAAAAAATTGTTCAATGACGATATTCCTTTATACAGATTTTTCTGGAATTTGTAAGACCAATGTTACACGGAGAGAAATGTTCAGTAAAAATTACGGAACTCTCACTTCACTCACCGATTACGGAATGGACTCAGAAAATTTAAGTGACGGTATCGTAATTTTTCACAAGAGATTCAGATAAAAATTACGGAACGCTAAATTTCCTACAACGACATTTCGCTCCGGAATTACGGAAAAGATACGTAATTTTTATTGAATATTTCTCTCCGTGTATAAAGATTCATACAAGTTCTCGGGACCTAATACCAAATCAGTAATTCACAGTATCGAATTTTCGTTTACGCCATTGGAAGTTTAGTCCGACATCGAGTACAACTCCGTAATGTCTAAAAACGAATGGCTCTTTCTCAAAAACTATTCGATCGATCGGGTTGAAATTTTGCACAGCGTTAGTCTTCATTAAGACCTGTAACCTGACGCAATTTTGGGATTTTTTGGAATTACTTTAGCCACTTAATTACTCAATTTTCTAAAAAATGACCATCGGGAAGGTGGCGATATGGTCATGCTTACATACATGGGCGCCAAACTTCGTATTTTTACATTTCAGGCCATTCTACATAATTGCCAATCAAAATTAGAGAATGTGAAAATTGTACGATTGCAGTGCTTCCATTTGGAAGCAAAAGGAGTCACATCGTGTTGATCACTTTATCTATTTCATGGGGAATTTTTTAGAATTTTGATATCTACAATAGTACGAAAGATGATGAATTTTTATTAATCACGAAAAGGACAACCTCTCGCCTCCACATGTGGCGTGGACGCCGTACTTAAGGTGAAACGGAACCCCTGTGTCTATATCAGTAGTGAAGTGGTAAACGGATATAAGTTGACTTATCTCCCAGTTGAGTTTGTGAGGAATATTTCCAAATCTAAGGGAGATAGCGAAATTTTCGTAATTACATTTGTTGTAGCACTCAATCGGCTCCACAAAAAAGGTTATAACAAAAATTTTGCTATCTCCCTTAGATTCCGAGATATTGATTGAAAACTGGTCAATAGTCAAAATTGACTTATCTCCTTTTACCACTTCGCTACTGATATGGAGTTTTAGGATTGTGTTTTCTCTTGCAATTATTATTTTTTATTTATAAAACTTCTTCATTGACTCAACAATGCAACGATCGAGGCGATAAAGTAATTTCATAGATATAAAGTCATAATTGTAGGAGAAAACACAATTCTAAAAATTCATATAGACACAGGGGTTCCGTTTTTCCTTAAGGGCTACAGAATGCGGCGAATTTTACAAATTTTTCAACAAATTTCCTGCCCAAAATTATCGATATTTTTACAAATCAAAGCACATTAATCTCCAGGAGGCGTTGATAAAGGTCAATATGCTTTGGGTTCAAAAAATACTAATAACTATGAGCAGGAAATTTGTTTGAAAATTTCGAGGAAATGTTGGCCCTCTGTTACCCCTTAAGGGGTTAATCATCCCTCTGCAATAGAATTCCCTCCAACCAGAGGCTGAGCTCCACGTCAGTCCAAAATCATATGTTGTTCAAGGAACCGGAACCCATTATCATCATCATTAATAATAACTGTCATTATTCATAATAATATTTACTTACATTGTTAATATCTTTGATAATAATAATAATAGGTGATATAACTCATCTTTTCCTTTCCAATAAATTCGAGATAGGTAAAATCATTTAAAAATATCTTCTGAGGAAGAAAGAAATAGCGAATAGTACACAAGCGATCGAAAGTGAAATAATAAATTTCATTCACGAAAATAATTGACTGATTCTCAATTTCATTCTGCATATAAGAGAAATAAAAAATAATCTCGACTGGACCCCAAAACATCAACAATTTATTGAATATCAGTCGCAGCATTAATTAAAGAAATGCATTATACAATCTTATCTGGCGTTTCGAAATTCGAAATGAGTAAACAAGCGATGAATTTGCACTTGTCACCTTTGTGTAAATAACTCAATGTCAGAGGTGAGGGATATTGACTGTTAATCATGTCTATATAAGCCCAAATTTCGGCTGGATGAGCGCTGATTCTCGAAACGAGTGCTACAATACCACTGCAGCGATCACTGGAAACGAGAATGCAGCGTAATCTGGTGGTTTGGACCACTGTGTGTCTGGCTATAGTGGCCGCAGTGCAAAAGGACACGTACACCGCGGACAAGACTTACCTTACAAAACAAAAACGTCTTTATCAATTATTCTGGCATATTGATCAACCTACTACTGTTCATCCCGACTTCTATCAGGTCGCACGCTCTTGGAATGTGGAGGACCATGTTAATGCTTATCCTTCTGAGCATCAGGTTCGTAATTTCATCGATATAATTTTGAAGGATAACTAGGATAACTGCTCGGATTTTTACTATAAGGCCCGGTTGCAGCAAGCCCTGTTATCGAAATGAACCCCAGGATAAAATTTATCTTCGGGGTCATAAATTTTCAATATTTGACACGAAGAATAACTTTTTATTTATTCTGTAGCCCTATTTGAATTAACACTGAGTTAACCTTGGCATTAAATTTTATTTTTTGTTCCTGGGATAAATTTGAGATACTCTCCGGGTAAAATAATCCATCAAACATCCAAATTTACTTTTTTTCTTATCTGACGATTTCGTTACCCGGAGATAGTGCAACCGGGCCTAAGTCACAATGTCGATTGAAATTGTTCATACGGTTGCATATCAAAATAATGTGAATACGCTGTGAGAAAAAAATATAAAATTTCATTTATAAATAAATATATTTATTTATTTAAATTTCATTTTTTGGAATATCTATATATGGGGCAGTTAAATTATGCGCCAAAAAACGGTGACGAAACACCTTACGTGTTAATGAAAAAATTTTATGCAAAAACCTCAATTACAGCATGTCGTCCACGAATTTGTTCAACGCTGGAAGTACGGTCTCCTCCCGCGTGATGCAGTCTTCACGCCCTACCACCCTGAACATGTCGAGGAGGTGCAAGCTCTCTTCAAGCTATTCTACCACGCCAAGGACTTTGACACCTTCCACAACATGGCGATTTGGGCCGGATTCCATGTGAACGCATATCTTTATGGCTACACTCTAGCTGTTGCCATATTGCACAGACCAGACACCAGGAACATCCGTGTGCCTGTACTACACGAGGTTTTTCCTCATTTGTTTTTCAACAATGAGGTCCTCCAGATGGCCTATCGTGCCAAGTTGGGAGATGCCAGTAAGTAATTTTAGGAGAATTTAACAAAAATGATTTTTCGATTAAAACAAGCTTTAGTTTTAGAATTATAATCTGAAATTGTGTAAGTAATTTTAGGAGAATTTAACAAAAATTATTGTTCGATTAAAACAAGCTTTATTTTTAGAATTATAATCTGAAACTGAGGCTTTTAATAGTCTTAAGTGGAGATTTTCCGCAGTTAAATTGAATATTTACCCCAAAAAACAAACTTTATTTTGAGACTTATGATCTCAAATGAGATTTTCAGAACTTCCTCTAAGGCCCGGCTCCATTATCTGCCGAACGTTAGCTAGATTGTTTTTTTGTTCGATTTTCATCTCGAAATTTCAACTCGATGCCCCGTCACTCAGAGACCCCCAAACATTATGAATTTGGATTGAAAAAAAAAGTAAAAAAAATTCTGAACATTCTGAAAGAGCGTTTTTAATTAATATTGACAAATGAGTTCGGTAGAGAAGATATGAATAATGTGTAATACCGTGGCAAAATTTCAAGTTGAACAAAATTGAAGAATAATGATTTTCCCATTAAATTAAATATTCACCAAAACAAACAAGCTTTTGAACGTTTCAAATTGATTTTCAAATGTTTCAAATTAAGACTTTCAAAAGTCTCAAGTGGAAACTTTCGGAAGTCTCAAATCGAGACTTTTGAAAGTCTTAAATTGAGACTTTTAGAATTCTCTTTAAAGAAAAAATTCAAATTAAGTTCCGAAAGTCTTCACCAGAGGCATTTAAAATTATCAACTGGAGTCTATGAAAATCCCAAATTGAAACCTTCAAAGGTCTCATCTTGAGGCCTTCAGACGGCTTGAATTGAGATCTGAAAGTCTCAAATTGAGACATTCAAAACTCTCAACTTAAGAATTTCAGGCTTCAAATTGCTTTTAAAAATCTAATGTTAAGACCATTGAAGTCTTAAAACAAGGTATTATTTTTTGAGTGATTGCCCTCGCTCTCAAATTCCGAGGAAACCCGTCAAGGTGCCTAAAATATGCGAATGGTTTTCAAATATACTAAATAACCAATCATTTGATGCTCTCAATTAATGAACTGAATCGTTCATAATGTCAATGATGCCATTACATTTCCTAGGTTTGAAGAAAACCATTGACGTCACGTACCACGGTGGTACTGATGTAGTAATCAACTCAAACTACACTGGATGGTACATAGTGCACGACGACACAGAGGACAAATTGAGCTACTTCACCGAGGATGTTGGTCTCAACGACTGGTACTTCCACCTCGTCAACGACTACCCATGCTGGATGACCAGCCAAAACTACACCCTCGCTAAAGAAATTCGCGGTGAACTCTACTACTTCGGACACAAGCAATTGCTCGCTCGCTACTACTTGGAACGTTTGTCCAACAACATGGGAGAAATTGAGACAATTGATTGGCACGCGCCAATTGTCACTGGATACTACCCAACTATGAATTTGCCAAATGGATTGCCATTTGTGCAACGTCCATCTTGGACGCGTATTCCCCAACATATGTATCAGTTGGTCCAAGTGAGTATAGGAATCAGATAGAAACAAGTTTTTCCCATTGAAAACCATTTCTTTAAATTTCTTTAAAAATAATGGCGCACCCGAAGGAATAATGGTGCTTGCCTTTCTCTCTTTGGTGCTTGCCTCTCTCTTTGAGTTGAAGAAATAACCATAACGAATAGAAGAAGAAGAAGAAGAAGAAGAAGAAGAAGGGCGCACTTTATGTTCGAGGGTGAAATTTGGAGTCGCAAGTTCCTCTTTAACTTTGCTATACAACCCCCCCCCCC